AGTTTCATTGAAATGTGATGATTACTACTTGAAATATGAAAAGCTGAAAATTAACTAATTATGCAAATTAGGTAATTAATATATACTGATATTACACTAAAAACTATCAGGTCTGTGCAGTGTCCTATGACATCTATGTATCAAGTTTTATTGAAATGTGATGATTACTACTTAAAATATCAAAAGCTGAAAATTAATTAATTATGCAAATTAGGTAATTAATATGTACTGATATTACCCTAAAAACTATTAGGTCTGTGCAGTGTCCTATGATATCTATGTACCAAGTTTTATTGAAATGTGATGATTAGTACTTGAGATATACAACTGTAAGTGGAAAAGCCAAAAATTGATTAATCATTATGCAAATTAGGTAATTAATATTGCGCAGATTTTTACCCAAAACTAATCAAATCTGCGCATTAGTTCAGAGCATCTACGTGCCAAGTTTCATCAAAATCCAATGAGTGGTTCTTTAGATATCAGTGGAACAATCATGGAACAGCTAAAAATCAGCTAATTATCATGAAAATTAGGTAATTAATATGCATGGATTTTTACCAAAACCTAATCAAATCTGCGCATTGGCCCAGAGCATCTACATACCAAGTTTCATCAAAAATCAATATATGGTTCTTGAGATATCAGTGGAACAGACACACACACACACACACACACACACACACACACACACACAGACAGACACACTAACTGCAAAGACTCCCTTTTTGTGCTTCGCACACAGGAGTAAAAATCAGTGAAAATAAATTCCATACAAAACACCCAAAAAGTCTTTTCAGCGAAAATTAATTCCAGCTAAAATAAAGTATTTCACAGTACATGAGATTGCATCAATCACTTTCATAAGAATCTTCATCATCACACCATCACCATGACAATGAGAATTGTTTACCCTTTTTTGTGATTTTTAATAACAAGCAAAATTACCCTTAAAATGGTTTACAATATATCCTCTCTCTATTATCTAATCAACAATGCATGAGAAGCTAACTTGCTAGGACATGTTACTATTTTCTTGCAGCCACTGTAACTCAAGAATTCACAAGAATAATAAACATATACAATGTCGTTTAAGCTTATTTAAACGTACCGGTAACTCACTAAATCAAATGAGGAATAATAAAAAAAATATGCAATTTTCAGCTTTCATGGTGGGTTGGTTTGAAATGTGTACACAATTCATATAAAATTGGCCACACTATGTATATTTAATAACCAATCAGCATATGGTATGCATTTCTACTCACCTCAGCGCATCCCATGGAACCTGGGTATGAAGGTCTTGGAATTTTTTCAGTATTTCAGTTCTACTTGCCACCTTGTATAACTCACCATAGCGCACACAGTGACTAGTTCTGTCACCCACATGTTTTACCATTTTATCCACCCATGTGTGATGATCTAACCTGAAGAGTAAAAGACAAACAAGCTTAATGGTACAATCATAAATAATTCAATGAAGCAAACTTGTCACGATATCCCAGCCATGCAATTTGACACACTCAAAAATGGGTTGATAAAAGGCAACTGGATGGCAGAGTTACTTACCTGGTATTGGCATAGTGAGATCGTTCATTCTTAGTCATGGCCTCAGATAAAAACACCTTGAGTGGAAGACAATGATCTACCCACTCTATAATTCCAATCCTGTAGAATAATATGAATGAGAAAGACTGTACGTGGTAAGCTGTCAATATACCGGTACATTACATAGCATTGTATTATGCGATAACATAATTGTACAAATGGGTTTTATTACTGTTAATTGAACCAATTTGGGCTAAGAAAAAAATGGTCACACGGGATAGAGTGCCCTCAACGGTGGATTGAGCACCAGCTGCATTCTGGGTAGGCATCCTTTTTTGTTCATTTATAGAGTTTAGCCATGGACTAAAAAGATATATTTAAGAGGACACTTGTCCAAAAGGGCTGCACCCTCTGACTAAATAATGCATGCCTTCTTGGTTCTTCGGCAATGAGCAAAAAGGAAATAGCATTGTCAAGGGGGAAGGGTGTTGACAGGCAAAATATATCCTCGTACGTTTATCAGAGATAAAGTAAACTTTTCTGATATTGCTGTCATCCATTTGTCCATGCATAAATTTAGGCGTTTCCTACAAGTATGTGTAAAAGCAGAGGAGGGATCACGTGAGGATCCAGAATCGAGATGTCTAGGTAGTACTGATCTGAGTGTGGTTCTAGTATCAGAGTTAA